ATCATTCGACAAATATCGACTGGTATTCACAGTATGAATAGTTTGATACTAATAGTTTGTCTTGTCTGCGGTGCGGTTCTCCTGCACTTACTTTACATGTAAGGATTAACGACAATTTCACATGGGTATATTTTAATACTGAAATACAAGGAATAACGTTAATTTGACATGGTTGTATTTTGATACTAAAATATAAGGAATAGTTATAATTTGAGATGGGTATTATTTGATACTAAAATAATGTTAATTTGAGATGGTTTGGTTTGATACTAAAATATAAGGAATGATTTTAATTTGACATTGTTATAGCTTAATACTAAAATATAACAAATGGCGATAATCGAATGGAGTTTAATGTCTGGTCAGCACATTGCGTCGGTTATTTTGAGGCCAAGAAATGGTAATTTTCATTACTATGCGTCAAGTGCATACTCTTCTTAAATTTCCAAATGTCAATGGTTCTTTTACACGCACGTCAATGCACAAGCGGATCCTGGAGTTTAGTTCCATATACACAATATTCATTACAGGTAACGCATCATACAAAAATCGACAAAAAGGAATAATATAGTAAATGTTGTTTAATGTGTTTGTATTAAACTAGGTTCGTATCGATAATGTTTTAGAATTAGAACATAGATGAAACAAAATATAACTCTCTGGGGATAATATATAATTATTTTTATGTTATACCATAAACACGTGTAGGCAAAGCTAGAGCAAAAAGGTTTAGTGATGTACAGTAATATTTATTGTAATGATTTTTATATACTCTTCAAAAAAAGTAGGGGATATTGAAATGTAAATACCTATGCAGGTTGTGATATGATAAATAGTCATGGACACTTGACATGCTTTGAGAGTATGTTCACAGAGGAAGAACTTGTCGCCCTAACAGAACCACTGAGCTACACATGCGACACGCAATAGAGCCATACACGTGAGAGCGGTTCATTGTCAAATTTGACACTTAAAGGAAGGGTTGATGAAAACTGCCGCGTGCTAGTTTATCTATCCATGTTTGCTTTCCTATCGGTTCTTGCATAAGATTTACTGTTTAGCATATATTTGCTTTAGTGTGTTACGTTTAATTTGAGGAGTGGGTCAGATTGCCCCAAATCGTGATTGGACGGTTGATAAGGAGCATGCCACGACGAATTGCTGAATGTCTGAGGATTAGTGGAGCAATTACTCATTATTAAGACAAAAATCAAAAACGTCCATTTTCAATTTTGACGGTTAGATAAGCAGCCCATATGAACTGTTTATGTTCATGTGTACGCAATTGGCCTGTTATTAACATACACTGGTTATCTCTAATAAAAACAGCAGTGCATTTCCGCAGTTTTGTATTGTTTCTGAAGAGTATATTTATATAGATAAAAAAACTAAGTTATGTAATATCGATATTTATACTAGAAAATATGCAGTGGTGAAAACGGTATTCACTGGCTTTGTTTTTGGAGGGGACCGCGTTGCCTCGCTATTTCAAGAAAATCCAAACTTTTAATTCAAGGAGTGATTTTAATATATCACGCTATATGATAATATATCTTTCTAGCAACTGTATACTGTATTACCGAATACGACATCGTTCAAGAATGGCATCCACTTTTGATATTGGATCAGAAAGGAAAGTATGGAGATGAATCCAATTTTGAGATACATGTATAACCGATTGTATGTTCAATTGGTGGCGTGTACGTAAAATAACCCTTGGAATTCCAAAAAGTGTAGGCGGAAAGGTCGCTATCCAGACACAATCGTTCACGTAGAATACTGCAATGCGTATGTCGGTCTTCATTATTCCATCCGAGGAGCACATATAGCTATTGATGTACTGGTACTTGTTTTAAAGTAGAGAGCCTATATTGATAGGCAAAACAATGGACAGTGAGTCATAACGCAAACCTCACAAATATTTTTGGAAATACAGATCAGTTATATGAAACTATGTATTGATGCTTGGACTGGTGTCAGATATGGAATATAAGCAGTGCTCTATAGACAAAACACTGATCAATATTTTGATATGTCATAGTAGATAGCTATCAGATATTAGTTTATTTTCGATGTAGATGTATTATTGTCTACACACATACTGTCGGAAAAATACCATAATATGATCATATTACTATTGATTTTTTTACATCTGTTTTGTGATCATACATTTTATGTGGTTTTAACCAAAGCGGTTCATAACACCGTGATCAAATTAAAACTCAGTTATTTTTACAAATGGAATGGGGGTTAAGATTCTACTTTTCCTCCCCAACTGGAATAATGACGATGGGCATACGCCACACAGTGGGCTAATGGGGGATCTTGCCTGAACAGCGGCAATTCCAGTTGGCAATGACCAGTTTACATGCACGTATATGCCAAACTGCAAACTGTGCTGTCGTGGTCATCGAATGAAACCGAAACCGGGATCCCCTAGTTAGTGTGATACTCACTGAGCCACCTTGCTCCCACACCCATTCCCGTCCTGTTTACAAACTTTCGCGTAATTTATCTATATGCTATACTTTTATAGAAGTGATATTTTTCTAGACAAACATATTTATAGTTTTATTTATATAACGCCATTTCACTTTGTATGAATTTATTTTAATCTGATTAAACCACAGATCATATTTCGTTTCGTTTTTTTTATAGTTCAAAATTTTGTTTTACTTGTCTGTACTACACTATGATCTGGAAGAGTTGTTACATAACCTGCGTTCTGGAAGGCGTGAGGGTTTAGCCAATGAAACCATCTGTTACGGCGACTTCTTGGCGTGAGATGCACGGAACTGTGGGTAAACCACTAGAAACGTCAGCGCTGACTGATTAATCAGTATCTGACGTCATAGGGTCAAAGGCCGCTCGTACGACCCCTGACGCGACATGCCAGTACTACTGGCCAGATCTTCATGTAGTGCAGGCCATCGAAAGTATAAAAAAACGAAACGAAATATTTATTATGAAAAAGAAATAATAATAATCCTTGGTCACAGACATTAATTGTCAAAAAGCTCAAGAATAATTAATATTGTTATTCTACAATGAAAGAGGTTAAAAAAATAACTACCATATTGCAAGTTGTCCATTCATAGTGCAGGAATTGAGATGGTTAATGCAAATTTCATATATATAGTGTGTGTTCACTGACCGGAAAGTTTCAGTGTTTGAAACTAGGATTCTAAATTGAAATGAATTCATATACATACATATGTTTGTATATTATTAAGCCATGCGATAAAAAATTGTTCTAGGCAAGCACACATGTATAACTTTAATGGTTGATATCAAATTGTTAGATGTAACATATGGAAGTGGGAAAAAAAACCTTTACATCCTATGTATTTGATTGTCAAGAATTATTTGCGTTTGGACATAAAATTGCTGCAAATGTTTAGATTCTGGGCTAGATCTACATAAAATTAATTCACAACAGGATAAGCATTTTAAGCATTGATAAGACCAACGCCCCACTGCTTACTCATTGCTGTGATCATGATTCTGCAAGTACGCATGTCTAAATCTTCTCTGGCATGAATAACAATCTGATTAAAATACAGATATATATTTCGTTTCGTTTTTTAATACTTTCGATGGCCTCGAATACAGATCTATATTTCTTTTTTATACTTTCAATGGCCCCCACTACATGAAGATCTGGCCCGTTGTAGTAGTAGGTCGCGTCAGGGTCATACGAGCGGCTTTTGACCTCATGGCGCCAGAAATGTAATTAACCAATTAGCGTTGATGTTTCTAATGGGATACCCATAGTTCCGTGCGACGCACGCCAAGAACTCGCCACAGCAGATTCTTTTTTACTGGCTGTTCCCTCACATAAACCAGAACGCGGGTTATATAATAACTTTTCCAGATCCTACTGCAGTAAAGACAAGTAAATCGAAATTTTGAACTAAAAAAACCGAAACGAAATAGGATCTGATTGGCTTGAATAATGAACCCAGGTTGTTACATAACTATTCTTGTAATATCCTTCTTCTATTAAAAGAAGCTTATTAAATTCTATTAGATTAATTCTTGTTTTAAGAAAATAGTTTCATTATATTATTGACACCAGTGTTCCATCCCCAGATTTCATTCTTTTAGTTAGTTTCTGTAAATATTGTAAAATCTAGAGGAAAATTAAATTATAGCATGTAATTGAGTTTCCGGTGTTTAATATTCATAGCCTGTCCATCATCCGAGACAGACAAGATATTAAACTGTTTCTGTTATAAATGTACAACAAAGATCAATATATTTAAAGGTACGGTCGGCTTGATTCGGGTCAAAATAAAGTTCTTAATTGGGTTACTCTAAGACGTTATTTTCGAGGGAGAAAGCTGTGAACACGATAACGCTTGACTATTCAACGTTTAAGTGAGAGAAAACGATATCAAAATATATCAACGGCGGATAATATCCAGGATTGGATTCAATCGGATTAAAGAGATTTTAGCGAAGACAATATGTGGCGCTGGCTTGTTTTGATCATATACAGTTTATATCGTCTGCAGTGAATGTAAAATGTTGACAAAGTTTCAATTCATCATATTTTTTTTTTGTCAAAAACATAAGTGAATTTAACCATTTTTGGACTAATATTTATTTTAGAGATCCAATAGTATAGATCAGAGACATTAGGGGCTATGGGTGCCGTCATTCGAAGGATAAATTATGTAACTTACGCACATATGTACGTTTACTAGAGCATAAACGTTCTATTCACGTGTGCGCCAATCTTACGCTTACTTTCTGCAAATGGGCTCAATCTGGAATCTAAATTGTGATAAAAGGTTGTATAGATTTGTGTGAAATCCTAAAACGATCACTTTGACAATTTCTTATTTTCGAACATATAATTTGCACACAATTTCAATAACAAGACTTGATACTTAGCAGCATCAAATGTCAACCTTCTCTTGATCCTTCACCGTGCCATCCTTATTTTGTGATAAGATATTTAATTGGAAGATAATACTTTTCTTTCTTTGTTTCAGACGATTAAGATGACATGAATGGTGGATGATGATGTGGAATACAGCGTCTAGAAGTGTCTTGGTATAGTGTTCAGTGAATTGATTTGCGTATAGTCTGTGTTTATTGTGATAGAAAAGGTGTTCCGCCCACTATTTAAAACGCGTTCTGGATTAGTATGGAGTACAAAAGAGGATTAGTGCTAATCGGGGAAATCTGTCTGATACTGTGCACTGTATTCGATCAGATAATGGCCCAGGATATCATCTTTCATCTACTGGAACAAAAACAGTCCGGAACTTTGGTTGGAAACGTGGCAACTGCGAGCGGTGTCGCGGAAGACGTGAGTGATGCCGAGTTTCGTAATCTCGTGTATTCATTCCTTAATCCAAGTAACCTGGAAACGGCGGCTTTATTCAGCATTAATAGCCAGACGGGTGCAATCTATACAACCGCGATGATCGATAGGGAGCGTATTTGTAAACTTTCGCTATTATGTGAGATAGAGTTTGATGTTACGATCCAATCCACCACAACAACGTTCTTAAAACTGCTGACGGTTAAAATCGTTATTGATGATGTCAATGACAACCAACCCCTTTTCCCTAATAACGAAGCAACGTTATACATTCCCGAGGCTGTTACCCCCGGTTCCAAATTTCGTATTGACGGTGCCAGTGACAAGGATACGGGTAAAAGTAATTCACTTTTGTCGTATCGACTCGTTTCCAGTAGCACCCGTTTTAGCGTAGACGCAGAGGAAAAATTGGACGGCAGCTCGGATGTGCGGATAACTGTTCTAAAGGCACTAGATCGGGAAAAGAGAGATTCATATACATTGTATATTGTAGCTACCGACAGTGGAACTCCCCCATTATCTGGAACATTAACTCTTCACATAAACGTGACGGACAATAATGATAATGTGCCAGTATTTAGGAAACCAAATTATAACATTAATGTTGCGGAAAACACAGCTATTAGATCTAAAATAGGTAGCATAGAAGCAACGGACCGGGATATTGGTGATAATGGCAAGGTCTCTTATCGCTTTAGTCCCTTAAGAAGCAGCAAACTTGAAGAATTGTTGTCCCTTGATAAATTAACCGGGGCATTGACGGTGAAATCTCCTCTACAATACGAATCAGGTAAAACATACGACACAATAGTTGAAGCTACTGATAGTGGTAATCCTCCGCAAGTATCTCAAACCACTCTGGTTGTCAACATTATAGATGTCGGAAATAACCCACCCCAGGTGCAATTAAATCTGGCCTCTCCCGTAAACAATAACACGGTGCTACTTTCAGAAAATTCTCGCGTAGGGACATTTGTTGGCCATATTAAAGTAGACGATCGTGACCCTGGGGACAACGGTAAAGTGTCGTGTAGTGTTGAGGATCCCAAGTTTGGTGTTCAAAACCTTGCTGGAAAGGGTTATGCCTTACTTCTGAACAAGCCCCTTGATCGAGAAGGACAGACTCAGCATAATGTGCGAGTTGTTTGTGAAGATTCTGGGTCTCCAAAACTTTCATCATCAACAAGTTTTGTTGTCATGGTTACCGATGAAAACGACAACGCTCCTGTATTTCAAAAATCGACCTATTATGCAAACGTTTCAGAAAAAGCTGCTAAAGGCACATTTGTAATTAAGGTGTCAGCGACAGATCCAGATTTGGGTGTTAACAGTCATTTTATCTACAGACTGAGCTGGGATGCCGATTCTCTTTTTGAAGTCGATCCAGATACTGGTGTTATTACAACAGTTGGTGAATATGACCGAGAAACGACGCCCAAGATGACTTTTACAGCCAAGGCCATTGATCAGGGAAGAACGGCACTAATAGGGATAGCAACGGTGGTCATTAATATTGTGGATGAAAACGATAACACGCCGATTATTAAAGAGGAATCGTTAAGACTTCGAGTGCTGGAGAACTTACATTCGGGAAGCGTCGTGGGTAAGATTGAAGCCACCGATGCAGATGTGGGGGATAACGGAAAACTGATTTTCCTACCTAGAGAATCAAACCCGAGCATCCCATTCGCAGTGTTTAACGATGGAGTTATCCGAACTGATCGTGTGTTGGATCGAGAAACCAAATCGCATTACGAATTCGATATCGTTGTACAAGATAATGGCCGAGAACCCAGAAAAGCAACTGGTCACGTGGTTGTAGATATAATAGATGACAATGATCATACACCGACAATAGAGTTCCCAGCATCCGACAATCGCAGCGTGATTGTTACATCAGACTTACACGCCGGAGATACTATTACTAAGATTATAGCTTACGATGGAGACGAAGGGGACAATGCCGAACTAACGTATTCTATAGATGGAGGAAATGATGGGAACTTGTTCGATATTTCACCAAAGACAGGCATCGTCTTTCTTACTCGTATTATTAATCTGAGAGACAAAGAATTCTACATGTTGAAAATTTCAGTTCGGGATCATGGTGCGAAACAAAGAGAATCGCGTGATGTACTGAATATAAAAGTGATTTTTACGAACGCCACACTGGCGGCTAATAGACAAAACTCAGCAGGACAAAAGTATATCATCATTGCTGGTATCGTGGCGGGCGTGACAGTCATTCTTTCAATAATAATAGTCGCAATCATTCTCAGAATCAGACAGTCCGATCAAAGAAACAGACATGGAGAAACCGTCGGTATACAGGAAGAAGGGGACCCTCAAAACTTTCGCAAAGGAAAAGTAGAGAACAATTTCTCAAAACCCATCACCTTGGCAACCAGTGACAGCGATCATGGCTTCCATATTTTTCCCAATCCCAAAATGGAAAAGGATCCTAAATTTTCATTCGGTAAAGAAGAAAAAGATAATTTTGATTCCAAGTTGCCTTCAGAACAGTACAACAAACCAGATTTTGTTACATTCCAAAAGGTAAGTGTTTTCCCTATAGGTCAAATTCAAATTAATACTTATTTTTATGAAGGTGACTCTCAACTGTAAGCTTTTCTATTTACACCCCTTTGTTGTTTCTGATGTAATGCATGTCATATTTTTATTTTATAATTTAAAAAGTTTTCTCTGCTGTCCCAGTGTATTATAATCCTAGTAACTCTCTCCCCGTTTATTTTAGTGTTAAATCCATGCGATGTATTGGTCTTTAACATTGTTTTAACATTCCCATGATCTAAATACTAACATGCCATAGTCATCTGATAGAAAATATCAAACATCCTCGAGAAATGAATGCATAGACTATAACGACATTCTCGTGGTTCCCCTAATTCATGCCCGTCTACCTCCTCATCCTTCCGCATACAAATCGTTAATATTAACCAAAGTCCGACAGAAATTTTTTTTTTAAACATTCTTCTTCGAATCTAGACCCTTAAAAGACAACGAAAATCAAAAAAACGACATGCAAAGAAGGGCTATAAATAAACGAAACTCGTACAATACTAGGCATATTATATTCAAGAATAGGTGTTAACCATTGAACATAATGAACCCCACGTTCAAAATATGCCTCCTTCCCCAAACCCGAATATTAATCTTCAGACAGTGTATTCATAATCTTTCTAGAACACTCGATACCACTTCTCATACGGTATGGGAGTTCACATAGCAAACATAACTTTTGTAAATTATACAATGTGAACTCCAATCACACCCGTGTCACCTTATTTGTTTGAACTCTTGCTAACAATTCACACTTTATAAATTCAACACGACATCAAACATTTTTGTCGATTAAAGATTGAAATCAGTTAGTTAAGAAAGACAATGAGCTACGGAAATTGCCTTTATTGCTAAATCTGAATCGTAAGAAAATCCACTGTGACTGATCATTGTAGGTTGAAACAATAATATGACGGAAATACAATTTGAAGAAATTCAATCAATTCATTGAAGCCAAAAAAGGACATCTTCTGCAATGATTGCATTGTAAAAAAACGCCTATTGACAATATTTGATAGCTTAAGGGGGTTTCAGTTGTTAGTCAAATCCATTTTATTGAACTATATATCACGCCATTAAATGAAGAGTATGCATATTAGTGTTAAAATATCCGATACAAATGTCTGACTTATATGGAGAGTTTCGTTATTTTGTACTCTAGCACCGGCACTACCACGGATAGCATCACTACCATTCACTTTTGTATTCGCTTGTACCGTAATTGTGACTGAAACATCAATACCATTTACTTTTCTTACGCCAGTCCCGTAACTCTTTATACGCCTGTGTCGTAACTATTACTGGAAACACGAATATCATTAACTTGTTCCGTAAAACATCAGTGCCATCAACTTGTTTTACGGTTGCCCCCTAACTGTTACTAAAAGCATCGGTATATCATTCACTTTTCTTTGTGCGCTTGAAGCTTGTACCATAACTGTTACTTAAACATCAATACCATTCACTTTTCTTCATACGTTTCCACCGTAAATGTTACTGGAAATATCAGTACCATCTAGGCTTTTATACGGTTGTAACGCAACCGTTAGTGGAAACATCAGTACCATTCATTCCTACAGAACATGGGTGAAATCTGAATTCCTCTTTCGGAACTTTATTTTTCCATTGCACTTTTCTAGTAAATCAGTAGAACAATTCATTTCCAGAGTAGTGAGTTAACTAAACCAAGTCTTAATGCAGAGAGCCTTTGAAATTCTCTGTTAGATAACGTCATCAAGGCCATGTGGAAAATCAACTTGTCTGTGGCGCTTTTAAAGTGAATGTGTCAGGGAATTGTATTATATCATCCATCAAATATCGGCCCTATTACGCCACTATTCACGCAGTTGGCTTCTTGAATTATGTCACTTAATTTCGCGGTTACCGTAGAAATGCATTCAGACATTTATTGGGGATATCAGTGCAACCTTTTAAGCTTTTCTGGCCAATTAATTTGTCGGTGCTAACCAGTTACTAGTGAGGACACGAACTCGGCAATTTTTAGTGACGTTATAATTTGCTTGTAATACTTTCTACTGATGACTACCGTATCGACCATGTTGGTTGTCTAACGGTTACTGTTATATAAAGCTGGTTATTTCAGTTTCCTGTGATGGAGGCGACAGCTAGATGTTTTAATATAATAAGAATCACTTCCATCAAGCCGTCCAGACAATTTCCCCTCCAATATTTTATGTAACTCGGCATTACGGAGCCCCGAACACATTCACGAATCGTGTAATAAATTAATTGTATGTTTCTTCGTACTGTCCAAACACAGCCTCAGAAACAATTTACCGTTTGGGAAGATTAAAACATATTCGACACAAAATGTAAATATTAAAGTTAACCAAGGTTATCGTTCAGAACAAGTGATATGTGTGTACATGATTTAGATTTAGGTCTGCATGCTGTAATTGGGTGCCAAACTAGGTACATGTACGTCACCTCGGGTTACGCAGAATCATGGTAATTCTTGAAACCGGTCCAGTGTTAATATTTGCGTGAAAGGTATACACATGTATAGATACAGCTTCATTGGGTCGCCTGTCGTTGGGTGGCTAGGGAACTGGACTTTTGATACTCTGAAATGTTTTTATATGGCACTAGCCGAGAATTGTTTTACTCCGATGCTTAGTGGGAGTGGGCCTTTTAGGTCATAAAGCCTGCCATTGAGCCTGGTGGAGTAGGGTCACCTGTCCAATCTCGTGTGTTTTCTCAGGTTCAACTGGTTTCGAGTGGACGTTAAGCTCTCTCTCTCTCTCTCTCTCTCTCTCTCTCTCTCTCTCCAACAAACTCAAGTATGCGTCGTTATATTTGAATATTATATAGGCCTTGCTTTTTACTTGTTAAATTTTGTAACTAAAAGCGTAAAATTCCCTTCAGATGCACTCATCGAGTCAAACCGCTATTCTAAATGTTTCAAGCCTGTTGGCTAAAACAGTTCTCTCAGTCATTCGGATGTACGTTAAAGATGTCTTGGTAGTTGGTACTCAAACAAATAAGGTGCAGAGAAATGTCGCGGCTTGGGAAAGATCATCACTAGCATTACATACGTAAACATAGAAAGAGTCTCAAATGACCAAGTATTGTGTTAGTGAGCTATTAAACTCCATTACTTACTAGAATAAACAACATAACAAAAATCCCTTTTTTTAAAAAAAAGAAAAAAAGCTCGTGTTGTATATCTGGTTCAATGTGGCGTATTCCTCTCGGAATGTCAAATCATGATATACGCCATGGTTATAATTAGATTGAGAAGTCAAAAGATAGCCGACACTAAACGACAACTAGCGTTTAATGATAGACAGTGAAATGAACAAAGTTCGTAATTTTAATATGACAATTCTCTAACACATATCATCCCATATTGATTTTAATCTGTATTATAAATCCTGTAGTCTAGAAACCTTTCCAACCTATTTTTAATTGGATATATTAAAACTAACGTATCGTAACGTCTATCATGTTTTCTTATTAACTCTAGAATTAAAATGTCTTAAAAGTGGACTTTTAAATATAACATTAAGAACATCGATACCGTTAAGGGAGGGTAATCCTAGTCTTAACGATTGCATGAATTCAAAGCATTAAGCAAAAGCGAGACCATGGAACTAGCAATATTGGGTGAAAATTAGTCACGTGAACATAAAATAATCGAAAAATATGCCGACATCCCAACATTTTGCCGTTTCTAATCATTGCTGTTGTCAGTCATTCATTCATCGATCTTGTTGATACAGAGACCGATAACCTTCTATCGATATTCCTCATCAAGGAAAATATGGTCTTGTCACACACAAATTTAAACGGTTAACTTAACCAAATAAATCAAAACCCACAGAATATTGAACATGTCTATATTTAGACTGCCAAATTCTTGCCTTGTGATCATTAAACAACTCGGTTATTGAGTTCAATTTCAATGAGTTATGGTTACGGGATAGTTTGTTCACTAAGGAAGTGTATAGACATGAATTGTGCATCTTTCTTATGTGTTGAAATGTTCTAGTATTTTTTAACCATCCCTTCGTGTTAAATGTTGTGTTTTTGTATCATTCCTTCTTGTTAAATGTTGTGTTTTTTTATCATTTCTTCTTGTCAAATTCTGTAATCTTTGTATCTTTCCTTCATGATGTGTTTGGTATCATTCCTTCGTGTTAAATTTTGCATTTTTCACCCTCCTCCGTCCCTCACCCTCTTCCGTTCCCCACCTCATCATCATCATTATCATCATCATCATCAGCAGCAGCAGCAGCAGCACAACACCATATTTTACCGTTGTTCTGTTTTCTTGAGATGATCATAATATTTATCATAACTCTCTTCTGATTACATAATAGACGTGTTATCTTGTGAATTGCTTTCTCAGAATTATAACTGAGAGAATTTTCTAAAAGAGAAGACATTAATTATAGACATCAATCTTTATGGAATTCTTAAGAAGCAAGCTTGAGTTATTATTGCCTTATATTTTACAGTGATTATTAGTTCTTCTGATTTTGAGTAGGGATACCTTCGTGGGTGGGGGTTTCTTGTATTTCTGAATCTAATACTCAAGACAAAGTCCCTACAATGCCAACAGTGTATCATAAGGAATACTCTCTACATTTTAAGCATGCCAATATGGTTTTCAGCTGTTGATTCCAAAACTTAAAACATTAAAAAAGTAAAGGCAATTGAAAAGCACTTAACAGCATGACATCTATATGCTATGAAGATTGTTTTTCCCGCCATTAAAGTATATTCGTTTCACTGAAGTCTGGTATAAACCGATAAATCATATTAAACAAAACAATACGGGATCTTGTCTTGTTGATGTAACATTGCCCTGGTACAGGTTCTCCTCTTCACCGCCAGTGCAAACCTATTTCATTTTTCCTTAATTAGGGGCTATGCCGGTCATTTCAGTCACTCATACGAATCGGGTAATTATGTTTTGCATATCGGTTACTGTGTATGACTTCATATTTGTCATAATTAAGAGGGTTTTCCAGTTCGACATTACAAGACATACGATAACGCCCCCATACTTCAATGTCCAATTATTAAATCATTACGTAAACGTTCTTGATAAATGAGTTGAGCTGAGAAAAATGCTTTTAACATTTGGTCTGACGGATGCGACATGTGAGTCGTGGCCAACAAATGACAGCTATGTTTGTTTCTTATCTGTTAGGCTGCACACGGATTCACTAATGATTTTTCTTTCAAATAACGAAGGAGAGAACAATTGGCAACAAGTCACAGATAGACGATATTCAAGAGAAAATAACGTGTCAAATACTTCCATGATTACTCTAAAAGAAGCCACGTATTGTTGTTTTTGGGAGCAGCTTTCGATCAGAAGCAAAGACAACGCACATGTTTGACGTCATGTGAGACAATATGCGGTTTGATCCTAGAATAAAACATAAAAAATAGCTACTTTGCCGACAAAACATGTGATAGCAAGATATATAAGCTAGCTTAATGACTAGTGAACGCTCGCTTACACATGCTAGACCCACTTGGCTTGCTAATTGAACGACACTTGAGTGACATTTGAAATTATACTGCGGGTGTCTGACCGGAATGCTGTCGGAAGGAAAGTTGTTCGGAATAAACTTAAATTGGTTTGAATTGTTACTACTTCCGCAGTCGCTTAAAGAGGGACATGTTACTAATACGTAATGACACGTATAGTCAGCTGCTTGCAGTTTAAATTGCCACAGGGTTTCAACATTTTAATTCTAGTCTTTTGAAATGCTCGATATCTTGACACACTGAATCGATAAAACTCCATCATTACAAGGTTTTGAATGATAATCCCCGCAGCATCTTTGATCTAAATATAGCAAGAATTTATAGGGGATAATCGAAAGAGCTTCGGACTAACCGATCTAAAAAAACGTAGGTTACTGTTAACATTAATAAAGGATTCTTGTATGGGGATTAGAATAACGGAAGGGCTTTGCATTGAATTATACTTGAAACCAATTTCCTTAATCTCTTTGAATTTCTAATTAGATCTGAAACCTGCAAATATTCTTTCTCATCATTAGTGCACGGTATACTCTATTTTCAACATTAAAGAAAGCGATTAGAGTTTTCTTATCTCACTTTCTTAGAATTACAATGTTCACATTAATGATGGTGCTTTGGTTTAAAGACTCTACAGAATTCCTTATCTAATGGATTTGTTATCGGCTCTGTTTTATGAAGACTGATGTTGCTTGGTCAATCGTTTACCTATTTTTGATTATTTCAGCCTGTTGAATCAGTGTCTTTATTGAGATACTCCTTTGCATTAACTAGATCAATGTTAATGAATATTACGATAATATGGATGCATGACGTTTTGGACACATATATTTAAAGCCCAAGTAAAAGCCTACTCTAACCAGTTAGTGCTTATTGACATCAACCGGTTTATACCCAACAATAGACTGTTTGACAAACGCATGTCTCACATTTGTTGACGTCCCTTGCATGACCCTTAATTGTAACTATATAATTCTCAAAATTACCTCTATAGAACTAAAACGATTTTATTTTTATTTATGTTTTACAGATTAAAGAGAGATCAGTAAGTTTTGATGTAAGAAGTGACCTGTCAGGGGAGACAACCGCCAGTGACAGCGGTAGAGGCGGAAGTGAAGATGATGCTCCACAGAAAATTAGTAAGTTTTATAAGTTAGAAATTCTTGGCTTACTATTAGAATTGTAGGTTTATGTTTTCTCAAGAGTGCTATGTTGAGAGTTAAAGATACAATAACAAACTCCATGGATGTGAGTACATTACGTTTAATTGTGGATGAGCGATATCTGAGATAATAATTCAGCTAAACAGAAGACTACCATTAACTCATGATAAGAAATAACTTATGTCACGCCATATTACAATTCTCATTTACAGTCTTACCATTAACGATATTTCTATTCTATTCCCAACAAGTCTGAAAACGACGTCATTATTCTTTCAATAATTTAATATAAAGAATATAAAAGATGTAATTTATCTTTATTTAACCAGATAAAGAATCCTGACAGCGTTGTAACTCCCGAGATCTCACATCGAAAGAGCGCAGTCCTTTGGGCCTTAACTGTTAAAGCTTTAATATTTTTTGTCTCGCATTTTAATCATTATCTCAAGTCCACAAATTAAAGAATAGACTGCCATGCCATATTATAATATCACACGTAAACAGCAAATGGTCTGCATACACATGCTATAATATGTTGAATAGTAAGGGATTGTGTAGACATATGATGTTGAATAGTAAGGGTTTGTGTACACACATGCTATATGTCTAATAGTAAGGGATTGGGTATATACATGATATGTTGAATAGTAAGGGATTGTGTGCATACAATAAAGGGATTGTGTAGACACATTCTATGAGTTGAATAGTAAGGGTTTGTGTACACACAATCTATATGTTTAATAGTAAGGGATTGGGTATTTACATGATATGTTGAATAGTAAGGGATTGTGTGCATATAATAGTAAGGGATTGTGTAGACACATTCTATGAGTTGAATAATAAGGGATTGTGTACACAAATGTTACAAGTTGAATATTAGGGGATTGTGTACACGCGAATCCCATTTAAATCTCTTCGTAGTAAAACGTTTAATTGAACGCGCCCACTGGAACTTCTCATGTATTATTGGGCTTTCTAATAAAAAAAATATTTTCATTTCTGTAATTTCTCTGGTTAAGGTTCATGATGGTTTTGCCCAAAAGCTTAACAATGACCACCTTTAAATTGTAATACCATGATATAATATATAATCACCTTAAGTTACAGCAGATTATAAGAGTCGAGACGGCTCAATTCGTTTTTGCTTTTCATGTGGATAATGCCTTTTTTCTGATGCTATATAGATGTTACCTTTCTGTGATATCTATGAAATCTACCAGATACCAAGTTCGCAAAACTTTATTAGTCTTAGCATGATGGAGGTGTTGGTAAATCCCACTAGTTCAAGTCTGTGATGGTTTCCTGTTCTCGGGAACTGCTATTTACGTATGTGTCTGGTGCATTGTTTAATTTGTTGTTATCGATGACAAGAAAAATATTTTGACCCAAACCGGAACATGTTTTCCCATTTAAACCGTATATTACAGAATTAACGTACAACTTGCATAGAATAGAAACCAAGTGTTAAAATCCTCACCTGAAGGCTGAAAGGTCAAATAAAACACAATTTAGACAGTTTATTTTCTTGGGGAGGATAAAAAAAACTGCATTACTCACGTCTGCCATAAAATTATGCATTACTCGGGTCTGCGTAAAAAAGAAAATAATAAAGGCGGTTTCACAAGAGTATTCGCTATATTAAATTGCACATGTTTGACGTTGCTCAGACAGAGTAAAAAGAGAAAGAATTTATCTTGTGGTTAGAGTTAAATAATCAATATTTACAGAACATATGAGAGAGCATCGACCCAATCATACAAAAAACGGCTCGACGGATAAAGCCAATTGTTATACCCCCAATATAGTCATAAAAAGTTAAGCGATTTGACATAAAATAATAAATTGATCGTTGTCGTGACCGATAATGAAATCTAGTGAACCCATGAGTTGGAGATCGGAATCACTTAATAGGAGAAAAATAATATTGCATGCCCGATTCGCAATTCAAATAAAAATAAGCTGAAATTCAAGAAAATGATTTTGAAAAGGTAGTCTAGACTTTGTCGAATTACGTTAGGTAACTAATTATTTCAGGAAGAGAAATAGTACGGCATAATCCATTTTTTTCTAACATTTGATAATATTATCACTTAACACAAATAATTGTTTTTTGTTTTTGTTTGCTTTTTCAGGAAATAATATGGGATATACTATGTGTCCTTCCACCGGAAGTGATGACGAGGTTCCACCACCAACCATAGCGGCGCGACAACAAAAGTCCAACGTTCAGCGTGTATCGCCGATCATTATGGATGACAGGAACAGTATTCCTATGACTCAATTTAGTAATACGCATCCCGTGAAAGACAATCGAACGCGAAAAGATCCGTATAGAAAATTCACGGGGTACAAAGAACCAATTCCTAATTCTAAATCATACCAAACCCCTTACCAAACTCATAACTCGCGCGACTGGTTACATCCCAGGCCTCATAATACTAAATTAAAATCACCATCCTATAATAGTTTACCTAGAAGTCCTGATGATGACGATTGCTCAACAACCTCTGGCAGTTATACGGTGATGTCTGATGACGCAGACACTATGTGTGTGCGATAGAAATGTGTGTGTATTTATGACGTCATATCAATATGTGCTTTTCTCTACGACCTATCAGTGCTTACATTGTGTATATAGTATGTGTTCAACGATTCCAAAGTGGCATGATTTAATTCTTCTTTATGAAATATTATAATTGGATTGTTGCATGTGGAATTTTAATCCGACATATTACTTCTTTACATAAACTGGTGGATTAACGCCATTCAAATGTGAGCGGGTGTGTTATTGTTATCTTTTTCTGGAATGAATTATTATGAAATCAGATTTTCAACAAAAAAACTTTTTTTGAAACAATCGGTGATTGCATGTATATATTTGTGTGAATCTGAACTGATCTGTTAAGAATTATTGTATTAATGCAGTTATTATAAATATAACGGTCTGCGCAAGAAGTCTTGTAACTAGAAATTTAAAGATCGTTGTATAATTAGACGGTATATATGAAAAACGGTATTCACATACTGATTTGACAAACTATAAGTACGTGTAGTAGTGGCTAATATACGAAAGCTAGATTTGTACTATCATTTCTGTATTACAACTCTTCTTTCACAGAAAATAGTAAAGCCTAAATAGTAAAGATACATTATACAATATCGTAACGTTTCTATAAACATTTATATTGAATAATAGTCAATTACAAGTCCGGAGCCCTAACAATAGTTATAGTATTTATGATTATAATAATAGTCATATGTCTAATATCATAGCCACATGGTTTTTAGAGACACAGATAATAGTAGATAGAAGCATTGTCTACACTATAATAGATTATTTTTATTGTTAAAGGACAGTGAGTAGACCGAGATGGACAGGTGACTTTAATTTGAAACATTGTAATTTGCAAAATAATACTGAGCAGGAATTGTTAGTTATGTTGCTCCGTGCCAGATACCCACCACTACTTATAGCTAAAACTGGAACAATGGTTTAGACCTCGATTTATGACAATTAGCCTTTTCAGATGGAGTTGTTGCTTGTACTTTGACCACCATATAATTTAAGAACCTAAATTTTCAGTTTGTAATCATATAAGGAGAAATAAGAGGACTTGAAGGATTTAGTATTAATTAGTATTACAATTAAAATCTTCCATGAAACCGCCATAAACTAAACACATTACATGATGTCAGTTATCAATGCCAGTGCTATATTGTTCAATTAAGAAATTGATTTTTCGATAAATATTAAAAACAGTATGTGAAGTTATGGATTACATAAATGACGATTTACTGTATCAAATTGATCATATTTCAACATAAATGCTGATTCGGTTTCAAGATATGTAAATAATTAAATGAAGCTATATAGCGCCAGGGGTTTCGCCAACATTTGCATAAACAACGGTATATATATATTGATAAGAACGGTTCATTACCTTTATGTAAAATCAATTCTGAACTGGTATGCTATATCTAGTTTCAGAACTTTATAAACGTGTAAAAAAACATTAACACATCTGCATTAGCTAAACCCGAATAAAAGTTAACGACGTAGCTGTATTCTGTTTATAACACTTAAATAATACCGTTTTGAAAAAATATTAGCTGCGTTCTGTTTACACCATGTTAAAAACTTGATGTCTCAGTATTAGGTATATTCTATATATATAACAATAAAATAACGCCATTTTAAAAATCTTTGAATTAGCTGTATTATGTTTATAACACTGACATAACATTGTGTTAGAAATGTTAACGAATCAGCATTAGCTATAATATGTTTATAACACTGTTAAAATATTAACGACACGATCAGTATTAAGGATATTATATCTGAAATACTGAAATAACACGGTGTTAATATATAAACGTTAACTATATTCCGAAATATTTTAAATATACTGTATAAAGCTACAGGTTTTAAGGCGTAAATGTAATTAAAATCACTTGATCCAGGCTGAGGAAGCAAATAAAGTTGTATCCATATAATAAAGATGATGTACTACTTTAAACAATGTTTCTCGTCTCGACCGGCTCTGCTCGATCAAATAAAGACAACCATATTGATCGTCCATGCATTCAAGACTTTATAAATTAAAGAACTTAATTATTAGTCCAGATCGTTAACAGTGTACAATGACATAATGTCTTTTATTTCTAATGATTTCTATTGCTTTTGACAATTAGGATTAAATCCCATTGTTTATCGGTTTTCATTGCATTTCTTATATATTAGAGAAACGGGATATTAATAGTTTTCTTTTGTTTTGTATGAATGGGGTTGGACTGCCGCTATAGGTATTTATAACAAATATATCAATGAACTTAAATTTATTGTACATAATGAAAACAAAGAACGAATTTCATTCATTTTTAAACTTTCAGCTCTGTTTATATTTTTGCTATTTATTGATTGATGTAAACTTTTTGTACTACATTCCATTTACTATTTTCTGCAAAATAAAAATAATGGTTTAATGTGTACCTTAATTTATGTTTTTGTTTTCTTTTCTAGAAATGTTCTTTTATTGTGGACTTTTTCCATAAAAAGACCTGTCCAATCCTTTATATACAAATTTTGGATTGAGCAAGTATAAAATATTGTACTGCAAGAGTTAAATCCCTTTGTATGCAACGGCAATAAATTTGACAATCTATTCAGCGTAAATGGCGATGGTCATTTTTAGGCAACCCATAAAGATCAAGGCGACGTATTTAGATATGTCTGTCCTCCTATCGCACATACCGTTTTGGAAATTTGTTTATCGATTTCATTTGCATTGCTATGCCACAGACCACTTTCTTATACAATTTAACAACACCTCATGATTTCCAAAATATAAGTTTTAGAAAGTAAAGATTGTTTGATACGTTTTATTTATTTTTTAAGTCAATACTTACATTGTATATTATTATCTATCAGCAGTCGTTTAAATAGTAGTTTAATGTCTGCATTATGGCAACCTTTTAAAGTTAGCATTCGTCTTTTGTATAGATTCAATCAGACTGTCCTATGGCTTAGTTACATGTAGACAAAGAAAACAATTTAAGAAATTACAATTTATAAAATTAAAAGTATTTTCTTAATCTGAACATAAATTACGTATTCCGCTTTGTACCTTAAATGATGAAGTCGATGATGATACGCCCAGGATTGGTAAAAGACAACTTTCACCGTATTATTGCAAAGCCTGAGCTTCCATTAACTTGTAAATGATCGCAAATTGCACTCATCTCATGAACTCTTGTCATCATGCTGAGCAGTGACCTTCGATTTTTGTTTGGTACCAAGAGATTAAGCTACATAAAAGTAGTCAGTACTATGGAGAATGCCTCGAGGCATCTGAAGACCGGACAGTGGTTGCATGGTAAATGAAAGAAAGACCAATAAATGGTTCTAATGATTCCTATGGGCTGATTCAATTTCAGAATGGGATATTCATTAACTAAAACAGATGTTAATAACCTGATTTTCTTTGGGTGCCAGAAAAATCGAAAGCCACCTATCAACATGTAATGGAAAGATAATTAAATAATTCCTCCAGACGAAAAACACTTCGACACCTTTAAATACGTCCAGAATTTCTGTATTGAAATAAATATACTGGAATTCAAGTTATACTGGTATGATCTGGGGATTATTATACAAGCCAGTTCCCCTTCAAATACATTTTCCAACATTTCCAGTACCCACAAACAGTGCATCCTGACAAAATGATAGATGCAAAAATCTGCTGCATGTATATTAAAAAGGGGGATTCTGTGCCTTGGTCGTTTGCCAAGTGATTATATAAGCTACGCGGAAAATTGCCAATCATCCCCAGATATCACATAACGTCCATGTTGTATGATTTATGTGTCAATGCCATGTTACATTTAGTTAAAAAGTAGAAGATAATCGTAAGGTTGAACTACTCGGTAACCTTTTATTCAAATTATTTCACGGTCACTTGAATATAACAGTACGATACCTCGTTTTCTAATTAGTACAGATTCCTTGCGGGGCGATTTGAAATAGTACTATTATTAACAGCTATGATGGAAGGGCGCTTGGCACATTGTCAGGGAGGTGGACACGGTGTGGAAATTGACCTATCGCGTGGTCCATATTATTAGGAGGTTAAATAGCGATATCCCATGTGATGAACTTATTAATTCTCTTGGGAAGTCCCCTGGTTTTGCTATTTCGTACCCGATTCAATCTGAAGCTTGTGGTTAGCATGGTAATTCATTTGAATATTTTGTGACAAGTTTGATTAAACTTGTTGAAGTGGAGATAGCGGATTTCGAGAGAAAGAAATAGCTGAAGTGGTTCAATTCCGTTACAAAGATATGACGAATTGAAATTTCGCAGCATGGGGGCATCTTCTGCAGACGATATATAAACAAGCAAGCGCCAGCGTGAACTATAAGTATGGATGGAATCTTATAATGGGTATCTTCTTAATCCAACTGAACACAAGACGGGCGATTATCTAACCTTACTAGCTTAATATTGCTTTCTTAAATTAAATGTTAAATAATTAAATTAAATAGATTTGAGCAAGGATTAAGCTGGAAAAATTAGATATTTTCCGAATATACCTGATAGCGATCAAGAATTTTGATTATATTTAATATTATATCATATTATTACATAGTTCCAAGCAATCGAATTATGTTCTAAACCATCGATGATATCATTTTAAAAAGAAAGTTTCAAAACTAAAAAAAAACAAAAAAGGGATTAATTCATGTGCTATCCCATCTGACTGAAAGAACCATTAAATCGAAGTCTGTTCGGGTCAGAGAAGGGTAACACTTATCTGTAAATATTCTGCAACAACCATGTACTAATTATGTAAAAGGGAAGAATTGTGAATCAGTAATTAAGTTTGGGCAATATAAAAAGAAATTCATAGTTACTAAAGCGCAACATTTAACTGTGTGAGTCATTTACACTTTGGAGTGTTTTTAGAACAGTGATATAATTGTTTAAGGCTAATCGAGCTGGGAATTCTCACAAATTTGCGGATAGCTGCTTGCTACCATTAAAAATGACCCATGACCCAGAGCGTAACGCAATTTCCCCGTGAAATAGTCATTTAAATAAATTTCAGGATGAAATAAATCAAGCGCCATTTTATCCCGGGCACCTGGGAAATAACAAAATGAATCCAGGGATTGATAAGATACTGTAGCAATAACCATACCATAATGAAGAAATGGACAATAAATTATGGTCATAGACAGAAAACATCTGACCAATGGCGGATGACAAATTTAGTATTAAACGTACATTTGAATTATACTTAACGTATCTTTCAGGAAAATATTATCATTGTCCTAATGGTTTATTTTAATATTATTGAACTTCTAATGATTACAGAGTTTCGTGACAAATGAAAAGTGTTTAAACTCGGGTAATAGACTGAAATAAAATCCAGTTATACGGGCATCATTAGCAGATATAAATTTGAGCATCTTAAGTTATAGAACCCTCTCTTTTATATGGACTTTCTTCTATTTTGTGTTATTATACAATTTTGTTCCTAAACATTGATAAATTGACGAGACGGTACGTCATTATGCCTTATAGCTTCATAATTGTGTTCAAACAATTGCTTCTTTTTTTTCTTTTCTTAGTCTGACACACAAAAATGTGATACCCTAAACGCATCAGATAACGATTGATCGCGTCTTTCCGGTTCCGGATGACACACTAGACAGCAACAGTATAGCGCATAGTTTCAGGGACATCAATAAGAACTAGTGGTGTATGCACAGCCAATGTTCATCCACAAACAAAATAATCAATGCGACTCTATTAAAGCCGTCAATAAAACAATATTCTTAATTCACACAACTTCATTATAAAGCCGATAATAACTCATTTTCCTCGCACAAAAAACTACAGCTAAGAATGTCTTGAATCAATATCACAATACAATAATTGTCAACTCGCCTTATAGTTCTCTAAAAGTTTTTTCTACTCGTGGACGTCAAATTATTGAAATTATCCAAGTTGTCACATAATGATGAAGGTTATTAATGTATTTAATTCATTATGGAATAAATTCCTTTAATAGCTTTCTGAACAATTGTCATTATTAGAAATATCAATTGTTAAAAGTCGAGTTATGATATAATAGCATGGAATATTGTTATCAATTCCAATTTCTTTCGCTAATTTTGACACATTGTTTAAGGGTATAGTTTGTTTGAATTGCGAATATATCCTCACCGTTCATCATTTTGAAATTCTCTCTGACCCGTCTCGTCTTTTATGAAAAAAATAAAACAAAACAAGTACGAGCGTAATATGGTTAAGCCCAAAGCATGTCGTCATCGCCGCCATCTTGGAATTGTGACGTCATGTCTAAAATTGAGGTCCCTCTATGGATGCGTAATTGTCAAAGGAACAAGCATGACAAGTGTCATGTCGATCGTACACGAATTGACTGAGTCTTAGGCATGTTCCGAAGTGGGACGCCCCGATCACCAAGAACAAAAATAACAATAAAATGAGTAGCGCTTGGGGCCACGTTCTTGGTCCTAAGTTTCGAATCCCCGGTTGTACGTGACAAGGAGTAGGGTCGCCTGTCCAACCCCGTGGGTTTTCTCCGGGTTCTCCGGTTTCCTCCCACTGCTAAAGACCCCTATGCGCAAGCGAATTATTGAAATAAAATTAAACCATATGTTAGTCCCGAAATGACCTAGTTTGTGTCGAGTGGACGTTAAACACCATTTCTCTCTCTTGGTCCTAAATGATTCGGTCCGGCTCAAACATAGCACTCATTTCAGTAGCTTCTAAAATTTCTTTTATTAACTGTAAAGAACACTTAATATGGTAGTAAATCCCATAGGCTGCCGAAGCAAATTAAAAATTGATTCGAGCAGAATTCAAGGTACCAACGGGATAACTAATCCATTAAAAATTCCTTTTTATTAAAAATTAAAAAAAAAACCGTGTTGCAACAAGTGAAATAAAATGGGATGTCATACTGCGTAGGGTGTCGTGAACAGAAATGTTTTTACACATTATGAACTCTAATGTCGCTACGGTAGTTATCTTCTTCTTCAATATAAAGAGTAGGGTTCTTCCAGAACGGTATTACTCTTGCGCATGGAAGAACATACCTGATTAAAAACCATACAAGTGTGTGTCCAGTGTACATGCTTATTGGTATGAGCACAGTGGCCCGTTGGAAGTCTATTCAGCCTGTCCACAGATGTAGTGTCTGGATAGAGTCTATTCCACTGCCGGACAACGTGCGGGAAGAATGAGATCTTATAACACTCGTTTGATGATGCTATTTCTCTGCATCTATATCCACCGCGTGTTCTTGAATCGCCTGGTGTTAGCCACTTCTCTCCTGGGATGTCCACTGTACCATCTTCAATATCATACCGAGTCTGCTTTTCCACGCCGCAACTCAAGTGTGTCCCAGCTCAATTGTTGTAATATTCTAGTGACTGATCCTGGAGCATAGTCCTTGTAGTTGCCTGTG